CATCTGTACAATTTGTTATCTTTTTTTAAAAGTTCTTCTGGGCCTCATTTGTTTAAATGCCAAGAATTTAAGTCTGCTCAGTCTGTTGTCCAGTTGGGGGACTAATAATACTTGACGCAACTATTGTTAGAAGCTGCAAGGGATATTCAGTGGGTAGGTTACACACATTATGCCAAACTGCAGTTTTATGTAATGGTAGCCTGTTAATGAAGCTATGGTGGCTAAGTTTACACATCATAGCCTAACGTGTGAATCAGAGCAATGGAGGAATAAAAGCAACCCAGATGGCCATTAGATTACAGCATTAATTGACTTGTGCAAAGTAACAATGAAACTGAAAGTGTTTTATAAACTGCAGTGAATTCTAAATCAGTTTAATTTATGAGAAATCACACACTGACATTTTTAAAAAGGTGTTTCGCTATAAAGACTGGTCTGTTAGAACTAGTACAGAGATTCAGTCTGACTAGAAGTAAGAATGATGGTCCATTGTGATGTACTCTTCTAGAAAACAAAGGTCAGTTGTTGGTAGCCAGAGGGCCTTCAAGCGTGGCTTCCACGCCAGGTTCCAAGTCAACAGATCACATTTCCTCCAAGTCCCATGACAAAGCAACAGACATTTTAGATAGATTGCAACATGAAACTTTGTGCTTCAAAATTTTTATAGCTGGTTATAGAATCCACCCAGTCCTTAATTCCTATGACAAGTAGGAATTAACCCCTGTGGATTTAGGTACATGCTCAGCCGGAAACCCCACTATGTGTAGGGCAGCTGTTATCTTCCATCTACTGTAATTTTACACCCAGGACTGAAACACTAGAGGAAGATTAAGGTACAAATATATGCCAAAATGGGTTTAACAGCCCACAGATACAACACACTTTAGATCAATACTGGCCATGGGTATTTGTATGGAAAACTTAAACCTTAGAAGATCTGCATGTTTGTGTTTTTATGACAATTGCAACCTCATCCCACCAGTTCTACATACAGAAGATGCATATCCATGTTAAAATAAACAAACTAATAATGATGATGATGATGATGATGATGTTGGAAGGGACCTTGGAGATCATCTAGTCCAACCCCCTGTTCAGGCAGGAAACCTATATTATTTCAGACAAATGGCTGTCCAGTCTCTTGTTAAAAACTTCCAGTGCTGGAGCAGGTTGTTCCACTGATTAATTGTTCTAACTGACAGGAAATTTCTCCTTAGTTCTAGGTTGCTTCTCTCTTTGGTTAGTTTCCATCCATTGCTTCTTGTCCTGCCTTCAGGCGCCTTGGAGAATAGCTTGACTCCCTCTTCTTTGTGGCAGCCCCTGAGATATTGGAACACTGCTATCATGTCCCCCCTTGTCCTTCTCTTCATTAAACTAGACATACCCAATTCCAACAGCCGTTCCTTATTTGCTTCAGCCTTCAGTCCCCTAATCATCTTTGTTGCTCTTCTCTGTACTCTGTACTCTAAAAGACCTGCACTGGTTGCCAACTGAGTTCAGGCACAATTTAAATACTGGCTTTCACTTTAATACCTCCATACTGCTTGTGATCTAGCTATCTCAGGGACTTAAGGATGCATTTGAGAATATTCTTCATCTAGAATATGTTGGAATCAAACAGAGATTTCACTCTGTTCCACTCTTGGTTGCCCACTTAGTCTCCATTTCAAGACCCTAACTTAACAAAAAAAAAAAAAACAGTTCAAATGTTAATATTAGTAACATTTAAATTAAAGATCACATTGTTTGGGGGATTTTTTTATTAGGGACTGTATATCAGTTGGATATGATGACAGAGTGGCTGACAGGTGGAGCTAAAGTTAAACTGAGGCACCACCTTTCTCTATAAAGCCTCCTTTTCTCTCTCTCCTTTTTGTCCTCACTCTTCAGACTTCTGAGGAAAAGACAGATAATTCTTGTCAGAAAGCAAACATAATTACTCGCAGAGGGTTTTTGAAGTTTGGCCTAGGGCATTATGAGTAAGCGAACAGCAAAATTCAACAGGCTGAAGAATGACCGGAAAAAATAATGGTCCTTACTGTATGGAACATTTTGTCATGGTTTGAAATATAGGTAGCCGGTGACTTAGGATCACAACTGAGCTCCAAATTTCTATTGGTAAGCAAGACAGTTGTGAGTTTTGGCCCAGTTTACAATCTTTATTGCCACAGTTGCTAAGTGAACCATTGCAGTTGTTAAATTAGTAACACGGTTGTTAAGTGAATCTGGCTTCCCTATTGACTTTGCTTGTCAGAAAATGATTACGTCACCCCAGGAAACTGCAACCATCATAAATATGAGGTAGTTGCCAAGCATCTGAATTTTGATCACATGACCATGGGGATGTTGCAACAGTCATAAGTGTGAAAATGGTCATAAATCAATTTTTTCAGTGCTGTTGTAAATGAAAACAGAAACTAAACAAAATTTGTACCTGTACAGCCCACAATTCTTCTTGCTTTCAGAAAGCAATTAATTAGTATTATTGCGGTGAGCTTTTAGCCTTTAGTTTTGTTTGGGCAATAATTATAGTTAGCTGATTGTTATCATTATTTCAACTGTTTTGATTTTCATCGTATATCCCCCCTCATCTCTCTCTCTCTCTCTCTCTCTCTCTCTCTCTATATATATATATATATATATATATATATATATATATATATATATATATATATATATATGTAGGTCTTTGGTTGTTCGGGTTTTCTCCCGCGTAAAATTGGAAGTGTCTTGGCGACGTTTCGACGAAGTCCCATTCGTCATCTTCAGGCTGGTGTTTTCAGCTTCGTGCTTCGAGCAGCAATGTGTGGTCTTAGCTGTTTCTTCCTTTTAACTGCCAGTGGGGGTATGAACTGATTGGGTGGGAGCTTGGCTGTGTTCTGATTGGGTGGAGGTGTGTTCTGATTGGTTAGGGGCGTGGCTGTGCTCTGATTGGCTGGCTGTGGGGCTTGGCTGTGCTCTGATTGGCTGGGGGAGTGTTCTGTTTGGTTGTGCTCAGGTTAGTCTGAGTTGCAGAGGGGTTTAAGATTTTGGGCTGCCTTGCTATTTTTTGGCTTCGCGTTCGTGGTCGTGCCTCATCTTCATGGAGGGTGTCAGTTTGCTTCATGTATGGATTGGAGGGGTTTAAAGTGGCTAATGATGCAGCTGTGGTCTGGCTTCTGGTTTGTGGTCGTGCCTCATCATCGGTGTGGCTTTGGGTTTGCTTTTTGCGTGGATGTGTGGTGGTGACATCCTGTGTGGTTTTTGTGAGTGTGGGTCTGGTATCATTTTTTGTGTTAGGGAGTCGTTTGTCAATAAGGGCGGGTTTCCAAATGGCTGGTAGGCGGGAGGTATCATCTCGCTTGTTCATGCTGTGTGGGTGTTTTTCTATCTCGATGGCTTCTCTGATTATTCTGTTATTAAAATGTTCACTTTTGGCAATGGTTCTGGTATTTTTAAGTCAATTTCATGTCCTGTGGCTTTAAGGTGTTGGACCAGGGAAGATGTTGGTTCCTCTTTTTTGACTGAGTTCTTATGTTCTTCAATGCGTGCACTTATTCTTCTGTTGGTTTGTCCGATGTATGTGTTGGGACAAGCAGTGCATGGGATTTCATATACTCCTTGATTTTCTAAGTCAATTTTATCTTTGGGGTTTCTAAGGATGGTGGATATTTTTCTCTTTGTGCAGAATGCTGTTTTGATGTTGTGTTTATGGAGGATCTTACTGATTCTGTCTGTGGTGCCTTTTATGTATGGGAGGAGGGCTTTGCCGTTTTCTTGTTCTTCGTCTTGGATTTTAGTGGGGGTTTCTTTTTGGATTAGGTTTGTAATCTTATTTCTTTGGAATCCATTGGATGTTAGTACATTGGTGAGAGTGTGTAGTTCGGTTTTTAGGTGTTGTTCGTCAGCTAAGCGTTTTGTTCTGGAGATGAGATGAATGACTTCCAATTTTACGCGGGAGAAAACCCGAACAACCAAAGACCTACATACAAACACCCGTGAAAACCTCAGAAAACATATATATATATATATATATATATATATATATATATAGTCTAGAATTTATATGAGATTGAGATGGCTTATGAATACTGTTAAATTAATGAAATAAATAAAGGCGACTCAACAAGATGACTCACAGGGTTTGAGGATCATGATCAAAGGATAACATTTGTTCAAAGGAAACAGAAATGAAAGAAAAACCAGGGGAACTACACTGAACATTAAAAGTATTCTCACTAGCTCAGAAATCCAGGTGAATGAATTTGAAGACATTGTTGAGAACATAAGGTTAAAATAAGCAATACAGTAGGTAGGACTATCACCCACCTAACTATGGGGAAGCGGTGGATAATGCTTTCCAAAACAAACTACAGATTTTTCATAAAGAAATCAAGATCTAATATTGGGGTACTTTAACCATCCCAAAGCTGAAAACAAACTCCATCCAAGAAATTCTAAGAATTTCTGGTTTGTCTTGCTAACTAATTTCTCTTTCAGAGGGTACAAGAAGGCACAAGAAAATAATTTATTTTTGACTCCATATGAGTGTACAACAATAAGGCCATGATCGCTCAGTGGTTAAAGAGACTGAGCTTGTCTGCTGGAAAACTGACAGCCAGGGGTTCAAGACTTGAGTACCATGTGACAAAATGAACTTTTGCTACTTGCCTCAGCTCCTGCCCATCTACCATGTTTCCCTGAAAATAAGACTAGGTCTTTTTTTTTTTTGCCTCCGAAAGAGGCACCAGGTCTTATTTTTCAGGTTAGGTCTTACCTCACCTCTGGCACTGACAGCCCTACCCAGCCGGTCCACTTCTTCTGGGGCTGAAGTTTTGCAGCTGCATTTGGGCCTGCATTTTGCAGTCAGGCCTTTCCAAAAGGCAAGCAGCCGAATATTGAGCTATGGATTCAATCCATAGTTTGGTGCTCGGCTGCTGAGGTCTTGCAGAACCGAGCTACGGATTGAATCCATAGCTCAGTTCTTGGCTGCACAGGCCTTCTGGAAAGCCCTGTAACTGAGAAATGCAGGTATGGCTGCAGAAGAGGCCTCAGAAGAAGAAGTGGGCTGACAAGGAGAGGCTTGGCTGCAAGATAAGTGGGTGCGGGGCAGGTGGGGCAGTTCCATTCCCCCCCCCTGCCCTAGCTTGATTTTTAGGTGTTTTCCTCGCCCCAAAACTAGGGCTTATTTTTGAGGTAGGGCTTATATTAGGCCCACCCCCAAAAATCAAGCTAGGCTTATTTTTGGTGTAAGCCTTACTTTCAGAGAAACACGGTAGCAGTTTGAAAGCATGCAAATGAGAGTAGATAAGTAAGTACCACTTCAATGGGAAGGTAACAACAATCCGTGCACCTTGGCATATAGTCATGCTGGCCACATGACCCACAGAATTTCTTTGGACAATGCCCTTGGCTAAGCAACAGAGATGAGTATTGCCCCCTAGAGTCAGACACAACTGGACAGGGGAAACCTTTACCTTTAAGTGGTACAAAAGGCTTAGTTGTGGAAGTGGAAGTAGAAGTACATTAACTATGAAGTGCTGGAGTGCTTGATTTTAAGGAAAAATAAAACTCAGGCTAATGAAACATGTATTTTGAATTTCAAGACGGTGAATTTTAATAAACTTGGGAGTAGTTCTAATTAAGCTTCCATTGCAAAAGAAGCTATTGGGGGGGGGGAACTCACCATGTGTAGGAGTTTCCTTGAAAAGGTGATTCTAGAAACAGAGCGACAAGAAATTTGAATAAGGAAAAAAGTAGAGGATAGCAGAAGAAGCCAATGTAGTTACACATACACATACACAGTGGAAATCTAAAAACCAAAAATAATACACACAGGGTGGATAGTGGTATAAACAGATAAATTGGAATGATAGAGATGGTATCCAAAAGGCTAATGCTCAAAATGAGCTGAGGTTGGTGGATGCTGAGAATAAAATGAGCTTCTTCACACTGAAAATAAAAGAAAGAGAAAAGAATCATTATACCAGCTGCTTAGTGAAGTTGGCAAAATTCTAAGACCTAACAATGAACAGGCAGAACTATTCAAGTCCCATTTTGGCTCAGTCTTTTCTGACAATGGGGTCCAAGTTCCCCCAGACAATTGTGAAAAGCAAAATATGAAAGGACAAGATTGAAGTTGGAATGAGAGAAGAATGGTCCCAGAATATCTGGTCAAAGAATGCCTATTTATCCTGAATTATTTAAATCTCCAAATACAGATTAATAGCACTTTGGGTTATTGGAGGCATTTGGTGATGGTCTGGACAAAGCGCTATTTTGAAGAAATTCCAGAGATCAGGTGCCATACGGAGAAGATTGGAGAAGGGGATCAGGGATTTACTAGAAAATACTTTGTAAATAATATGTCAATTACTGGAAATCAACATGGATATATTAAAAATAAGCCTTGCAAGACTAACCTTATATGGACCAAATAGTTTCTTTAGTAAATAGCGGGAATGCTTTAGATCTACCATATTTTGATTTCAGTAGAGCATTTGAAAAAATACCCCATGCCATTCTGATTAGGAAGTCAGATTAGCAAGAAGAGCAGTTTGCATGTTTTTCAGCTTTTAAAATTTTGATTGCTTGGAAAATGCAAATAGTGTGCCATAGGAGGGATAAGAAATGCGGTATCTAAGGAAGCTGCTATGGTCACAAACGTCTCCTATGGTGCCTGCCAAGCGCTCTATCCCCACTGACTTTTTAATGTTTTGGTTTCTTTTAATTAAAATAATAATGTGCAAAATGGGCAAGTTGCAACATAAAGTGCCAACCCTCCATCATCATTATTTATGATAATTACTCTGGTTTCCACATCGCCCAGTAGGAATTCTTAGAAAATAAAATGGTGGGCAGTTACAGCTCATTCTTTTGTTTCCAGTTGTGACCAGCTGTCCAGAAAGAAAGAAAAGGTACAAAAATTGGACTGGTTTTCCTTCTTGTGAATGAATATTTGTGACTAGTCATGCCTATCCATCATTTTAGGAATTCACAAAATCCCCTGCCTGGAGCCATTTTGTGAGAGCACCCACAAAATGTGCTCATCAGCTCAAAAGGATGCCTGTTACTGGACTATAAGAGTATTACTTTCAAGTACTGTAAGTCTGGAACTCATGCAAGACATCATTAATTTTGCTAATTAATGTGTTAATCACAAGGTGATTTCATGCAGTTTGTTTAAATCAGGGTTTCTTCAAGTTTCTTCAAGAAGATACCAAGTTATATGCTAAGTCATAAGCAATAGATTTACAAACCACAATAACCGAGTCTATATTTTATACTAAAACAAAATTCCAACAACTCACATATGCCTTAGCTCAATGTATATATGCAGTATGAAAAACTGCTCAGGAAATATCCAAACTTGCTGCTTAAACAATTTTGTTTTACAGCATTTTTATATCATTTTAGTAAGAGGCTTCGGGCATTTCAACAAGTTGAATAACTTTTTCTGCTAGTGTATCACATCTAAACTCATGTACTGACAGGAAGGTAGACTTAATCCAGCTTTTTTAAAATTCTAAACAGTTTTAAATGAATGCCTCAACTTAGAGACTTGAATGCTATCTGAAAAATAGAAAAAGGTTGCAGAAAGGGGCAAGAAGAAATGGGTGTAAAAGCTGAACACTAGCAAAAGTTACTCAAGTTGAGGCTTGGTAGTTTTTAAAACATCAACAGCTAATCTTAAAACCTAACCCCCAATTTAAATGGTTTCTGGTATTATTTTACTAAATATTCACTTGCCAGCATGGGCTCTTTCAGACCCCAAACTTCTTCATTAGAGTCTCAGGATGGGTGACTGGAGAGAGGGGCAAAATGTGGCAGTTCTCATCAGCCTTCTTCATAATGCATGTTGGGAAGTTGAAAATAGGGTAAGGGCACGAGGGCAGAAAGGGGGAAAATGAATTCTTGTAGTCAGGCTTCCATAGAAAGCACAAATGAATGTCCATGAAAAAAGAAAGGTCCCACCCTGCCAATGAATGCTGCAGCTTCTAGTCACCAGAGAAACTCACAATGGGGCAGACCTTGTTATCAGCCAGAAAGGAAGGAGGCCCCAGTGGCGAGCCTCAAAATCTGACCCACTTGTCTTGAGAGGTTAAGTTGGTGACACTCTTCTGACATGTTTGACAATGAAAAGCAGCTTTGCTGGGTCAACCCCAAAGGAGGTGACCTGTGACCCAGCATGAGGTTGCATCTCATTAAAAACATATATTTCCATTTCTGTATCGACAAGCTCGCAAGGTGTCATTAAGGAAATATTGCAGCCCTAGGGCCCTGGCGTCAGCTAGCAATTGCCAGCCCAGTGGTGCAGACACTGGGGTAAACATGGAAGTGACAGTGCAGTATATAATACCCAGTGGTTGTAAGCATCACTAAACATTGCTTTTTCCAAGTAAACACAATGGAAAGTGGGGTGAAGCTGACCAGGAGCAACCAAAGAAAAATGACTCTTTGTTTTGGGCAAGCCGAATCAGTTCCAGGAGAAGTAACAGCTAGTCTTTAGCTACTTTTCCAGTAGGTGGAGAGACCAGCATTTGGCCAGGTCAAATAATGTTTAATCCTACTTGGTAGCAGTGGCATTGTGCCAGATACAAACCTCTAGGCCAGTTGTGCTATCCATTCAGTCTTTTAACCTTGGTTCTTAGTAAACTCAGCATCAGAATCATTGGACTTTCTAATTCTCTACAGCCCATCTCTTTGTAAGCTCTGACAAGTTGGTCCCCAAAGTCGGTCTCTGTTTAATGTATGTTTTCCAAAGATTTGCTGCAGGTTTTTTTGTGTATTTAGCAAAAGGATCTTTTAACATGCTAGAGAATCCACTATGACAGTGGTGGCGAACCTATGGCACGGGTGCCAGAGGTGGCACACAGAGGCACGTGTGGGCACGTGCGCCGTTGCCCCAGTCCTAGGCCTTCTGTGGGCACGTGCAACATGGGCAAGTTGCAATGACTTCAGAACTCTGGTCCTCTGTTTAAAGCATGCTGCCTTTCTGTTTAATCTATTTTTCCTGTTGCTAGCTGTATATTTCCAAAACTGCCCATACAGACTTCACTGAGCTGCCACTGAGCTTTCTGCTTCATCTGATCTTCACATGTTGTATCATGTGGGCAACCAATCCACCCTAGCAATCATTGTTCGCATTTGTGCTTTCAAAATTCCACTGTGTCCACTGGTTAAAATATTGGGTGGGGAGGTTATACTTCTACTATTGAAAGAAGAGAATTATATGAAGAAGCCACTAGAAGGAAATATCCCAAGGATGACTGAATTTCAAGGCATGAAAACAAGTTTTTTCCTGCTGCAATTAAATTACCTGAGCCTAGTCTTTGAGATCAAAGGAGAAAAAAATTAAAGTATTAGCAATCAAAGTAAATGAATAGGTAGTCCTAATAAACACTTTATATCCATGCTGGAATCAAATTCTGCCTCTTAACAGATCCAATACCTGAAATGCATTAACTGTTGCTTACCAAATGTGAAGGACTACAGTTGCCATCATTCGCAGCCATACCATCAATCTGGAAGGTATCTGAAGATAATTGAAATAGTTTTGTATTTAATCAGTGCTAAGAAACAAGCAGAGAAATTAGTTGTTTCTTCATGTTACAAATGGCTTTTCTCATTCCTGATGTCTTCTCCATGCAATTAAATTTACCAAGTTCTTGATTTCTCATTGATAATATGTGTCTTTAATGTGGGATAAAAGAAGATGCTAATTAGGCAAGAGCAAATAAAGCTGTACTTTCATTTCAGCCCACGAATATAGATGTACAATCATACCTCTTTTTATTTCTACGTTTGTATAAAACATATATTACTCTGTTACATTCATTTCCTCAAATTACTCAAGTTGACTAAAAGAAGAATCTCACTCATAGTAGGGGAAAGTTTTCTGAAGATTGCAGATTTTGGCTCCTAGCCACTACATGAAATCAAATTAATAATCTATGCACCTGGAAAAAAATTTGATGATCTACTCCAGCTTTCTGCTTCAAGTAGACTAAAGGATTCCAATAGAAATTTGCAGAGCACAACTGGAATACTACCATGCATCTAGAAATCCATAACCAAAACTGACTTAAACAGAAGAAAAATAGCCTGTCCTATTACTTATACAATGATCCATTCCCATAAATCCAATCTCATGAGTTATAAATGTTCACATTGTAATCCTGAATTTAGATTTTCTTTGCATTTCACAAATTGTGCTGCAACACTTTGCCTAAAATGGGGCCCTTAAACAACTGACTGGTTTATAAAGTTTTAGAATGCATCTTGGAAAAGCTTTGAAGGCCAGACGCTCCTATTGGTTCATCCTCCTAATAACAATTAAAAACACATAAGTTCACATTATAGTTCACTTCTAGCATGTTTTTCATCTTCAATTTCCCATTGCAACTTTACATAGACAAAGTGGCTAGATTTTTTTTTCTTTTTTAGTTCTTTTGGTTTGACTTGTCAATGCTTCTGACTTAGTGATTTGCATTTATAGCAGTCAAGCACACTGAGGAAAAATTTTGCATTTGCTGTTATTGGGCACTTTGATACTTTCACACAATACTGGTTACTACCGGTATCTGCTGCAAAAAAAAAAAAAAAAAAATCCTCCTGCAGTTCCTGACCACAAAGTTTTGGGGTGTTTGCATGCTTGTTTCTCCAAACTGACCTGCTATATGCTTCTCTTCCTAGCAACTCTTTCTCCTGAGAACAAAGTGAAGCAAACTTCACCCAATGGGGCCTGTCATTCTGAAGTTGGTTAATGAACTAAGATAATAAGGTGACCAACCGTCCTCCTTTTGGAAGGACAGTCCTCCTTTTTGGAGTTCTGTCCTCCCTCAAAAAGTGTCCTCCTAAATGTCCTCCTTTTCCATATACCATCCTCCTTTTGGGAGGACAGTCCTCCTTTTGGGAGTTCTGTCCTCCCTCGAAAATGTCTTCCTAAATGTCCTCTTTTTCTATATTTGAAGACTTATCTGCAGGGCTTTCTTTTCCTCATAGAACGCTCAGAAGGCGTTCCGGGACCATTTTTTGATATTTTTTTTCAACTTTTGCCTGAGCTGTGCTACTCCCCCATTGGCTTTCAAAAGCCAATAGGAATTGCTGCTGAGTGCGCCAAAACACCCAGGTGGCAAACTTTGCACGTGCAAGTTGCAGGAACTTTGCACCCCTCACTGCTACCCAACTACACCATCTCCTACTTAGTTCTGCAGATAGCTGGAGGAGACTGGAGCGGTAAGTTTCTCTTGATCTTCCCTGTTCGATTCTACACAGGGATGCACAGGGTAGGCAGTGGTGCTGGGGGGCGGCTGGGGGGTGGCTGCAGGGCCGGAGCCAGCACGGCTGGTGCTTTGCAAGCTGCGGGGACGGCTCTACGGGGATGTGCAGGGTGGGCAGTGGTACTGGGGGGGCGGCTGGGGGGGTGGCTGCAGGGCCGGAGCCGGCACGGCTGGTGCTTTGCCTTTGCAAGCTGTGTGGCCGGCTCTACCGGGATGTGCAGGGTGGGCGGTGGTGCTGGGGGGCGGCTGGGGGGTGGTAGCTGCAGGGCCAGAGCCGGCACGGCTGGTGCTTTGCCTTTGCGAGCCATGGGGCCGGCTCTACAGGGATGCACAGGGTGGGCAGTAGTGCTGGGGGGCGGCTGCAGGGCCAGAGCTGGCTCTGCTGGTGCTTTGCGAGCCGCAAGGCCGCCTCTCCATGGCAAGGCAGTGGTGCTGGCGGGGCAGTTATGGGCGGGGGCATGGCGGGCAGTTGACCTTCCATGGGCTGCACCAGCTGGTGGTCTATGCAGTGCTGACCTGTGCTGCCACCACCTCACCCTGCGCACCTACATGGCTGTCCTGGAGCACCTGGCTCACAACACCTGCCTCCGCCGCCCATCCCCACGCAATCCAGCTGTGTAGATTTTTGGACAAGTGAGAAATCGAGATTGAATGTTGATACTCTAGCTGCAGCACTTGCCGTAAAATTCAATATGAAGGATATTTCTTGTTCAGATATTTCCAATATATTGTTAGAAGATGATACATTGACAAAAAATATTCATTCAATGGAAAAGTGCTCATTTAAATAATTAATAGGCATGTAAGCATAATTACAATATAAAACGTTATTGTTACAAATGGTTTTTATTATGCATTTATCGTATTATAGTGTATTCTGTATTATTGTTGCAATAAATACAATGTTTCTTTTATTTACGATATTTTTTTCTTCAATTTATTCGTGTCCTCCTTTTTGTTGTAAAAAAGTTGGTCACCTTAAAGATAAGAACCTACTTCCTCCCTATGTGCATCATGCTTCCTTCCTTCCCATCTTGTTAATTTTAAACCAGTTATAGTGTTATTATGCATTGTTTTGTGCTAAGGTTTTGTTTTGTTTTTGTATGGTTGTACTGCTGACTAGAATCAACTCTAGGTGAGGTAGGTGGCATATATGTTTACTAAATAAATAAACAAACTGCTAGATGTAGAGCATAACCCTTCCACTCTTCAAAGAGTTGGGTAGCTCATTAGTTTGTTGGCACCAGTGCAACCCAAGGCTGAAAGATCCGACTTCCATGTTGACAGTGCTTATAAGCCATAACTGGTGGGGACAAGGATGCAGTAGCACTGGGATGAATTGGTGATGCTTTGGAGGAAGGACAAATAATAATATAAAAACTTTCAGGCCAGTGTTCTCAACCTTGGCAGCTTTCAGATGCATGACTGGCTGGGGAATTCTGGGAATTGAAGTCCACCCATCCAAAAGCTGCCAAGGTTGAGAAACACTTCTATAAACATCATGGAATGGGGATAAATTTGACATTTACTGATATATGGACATATAGTGGAGTAGTAAATCAGCAGTACTAGCTCCCACTGTCCCTGGAATAACAATTCTTGATCATTATAGACCTTTATAGTTTCAATCAGCTGTCTTCCTTCTACCGTATTTCTCCTTCCAATGCACAAAGAATCTTCGGATTGGTAGTTTCTGGGAAAGCAAGTGAAGCACTAATCTCTGTCCCTTGTGTTGTAAGTCCTAGTTTAAATGCATAAGCCAAACAATCTCTACATTTGAACCCCAAAACCAGGAGAAATCTGGCAGCATCTTTTCCGTTTAATGAATGTAATTAAAAAGCATAAGCTTTCATGAGTTACAGCTTATTTTATCAGAGGAACATCACAAAAGCTATTAATAACATTTGTTAGTCAGAAAAGGTGCTGCTAGACTTCTCTTGAGTTTTTTGCTACCTCTGACTGAAATGGCTCTCTTTCTAAAAGGCTTGTAGACTAGCAACTCACCAACTTGGTCTTTTCTAATATTGTTTTCTTGTGGCTTTAGTAAATATCATAAGATTTGGATAAGAACTACATGAATACAGGAAATTAAGTTTCCACAAATATCCTCAATCCTGATATTCAGCTTTTCTTTATTTTTCTTTAGTGATAGATGATTCATACTGGTTTGTCCCTATTCAAATGTTTCAGTCATGATGAAGAAAAATCTTTCTCATCCAGATCCAGCCCTTGGTCCCACTTTCCAACAACACTAAACATCTGCCTCTATTTTATTTTTGGACCCACACCGTTTTCTATAACAATAGGAAGGTTTTTCCTATCATTCCTGTGAGGTCAGCCAATCTTAATCTCTGTGATGGGCTATTGAATAACAGAATAACAGAGTTGGGACAATTCTGTTATTCTGTTATTCAGTAGTCCATCAACTATAAACAAACTAGTTGAGATGATGGTTAGGATATATTTTTATTTCCATTAAAATCATAGAATTCTAGAATCATAGAGTTGGAAGGGACTTTGAAGGTCTTCTAGTCCATCCTCTCCTGTTAGGCAAATGGTAGGCATTTATGCTGATGGAGATTCTCAGTCATCCAGGTAGAGTTGTCTAGAAGTTGAGTCATGGCAACTCAGCTTCTTTTTTTGCTGTTTCATACTGAAGGAACTACTTGGATAAGCAGTGAAAAGTTTCGAACCAACAAGAAAAAAGTCCAATCGCCATGATTCATCTTCCAGACAGTAGATATTTATGTAGGCTTCCTTCTGGTCAATAAAAAAAATGAGGTGAGGGTTAGTATTAGAATGAGTTTTTTTGCTTTGTGGTAGGCTTAGATTGGGAATGAGGGATGGGATTATGGTTAGGGGTACTATTTTGGGGTGAAGGTGGTGTTAAGGTTAAATCAGGACTATAATTGGTGTCAGGGTTACCACTAGGAATGAACTTTTCTGCTTAGCAGTGACTTGGATTTATGTTACAGTTAGCAAAGATTGTGGGTTTAATATTTGTGGAGGTGATAGAATGAATTCAGGATTAGGTACAGCTTTCCTGGTGGATTTAGGTATGATCTAGTATTAAGGATAGCATTTTTTTTAATGTTATGTTTAATGTTACAAAAAAGGAAAACAAATAATAAAAGATAAAAAGCAGCTATATATTTTTTTAAAAATTATACAGCACAATTTGGCAAACCACATTTATCTTTGATCACACGAAAACAGTCACTCCAGTCCGTCTTTTAGGTATATAAGGAGGCAG